ATAATTAGAAATTAAATCCAACAATTTTCTTGAACATATTGGACTCCTTCAAGACCTATATGATCAATTTCAACTATTTTGCTATAATTAGGACTCAAATAACTCTTATTTTGACTTTGATTATAACTTGATAAACTCTTAATACAATTCAATTAAGGCGTGATTTTGACTAAGAAAATTGCCAATTATAATTTGGACTTAAAAAATGTCTATAACTCAAACTTCATCCGATAAATATTTAATAAGAGATAGAAAAAATAATAAATAGGAGAGGGAAAGAGAGAACATTTAAATTTTGTTGATTCATACAGTTTAAAATAGCCTCTACAATGTCTATTATTTTCTTGTCATATCAACTACGGAGTCCCACTCGAATTGCATTAGAGAGTAACTTTTTGAAGTAATCGTGAATTACTTAAAAATTCTGTCACATAAGTAAAAGTAGATAATGTTTAAAAAATACATCTCCAATGCAAGCTAACAAGAATACAAGAATTTTATCAGCTGTTAGATTTTATTGGATTGAAACTTTAAATTTCAAGAACTTAAAAACCTAATTGTTTTATTACCAATATCTTCTGTGCCAAATCACCTAGAGAATTATTAAAATGCGGAACAGAACTTAGTTCATTGTGAATAATTCCTTATTACTAGATCTTGATTCCGGATCTTGAATATTGACTCTTTTGATTCTTGAGTTCTTGATCTTGATTTTGCTTGATTGCTCCATGATCTTGGTTGTCTCAATTCCTTCTTCTTGATCTTGAATTATTGTTCTTGATTGTGGATTTTTTATCTTCATCTTCAATATGTTTTCTCATGTGTTCTTGGGTTGATGGGATGACATAAAAAAAAAAAAAATTACATATGAATTATTGACCATATCCTATTTATAGTTTCCATATGTATTTGATCAATCGTCAAATACAATCCTAATGGATTCGGTCTCTACAAATATAATCCGACCCACACTTTATTTAGATGCTCAATGTTACGTTTTTTATATCGTAAGTGTACGATATCGTAACAAGTAATATAGTAGACCTTTTGAGTCCGGATTATCGTTCCCACGAGAACTATACTTTAGACTTTAATTAATTGTTTCTAACTCGTATTTCATGCAAATAAACAAAAACACGGATTTGTTGAACTATTTAATTTAAACACGTGAAATTAAATT